TCCCCTGCGCTGAAAGAGCCACTCCCAGCACGCAAATTTGTTCCTCCAGGGGCCTCCAGTCTACCTTAGGCTGTTCCGGGGGGGGGGACCCCATGATAATGGATCCACCAGCCCTGCGTCTTGCTTCCTCATTTGACGATCATGTCCAATATACCTGGATGAAGCGCGTCATGAGGGCTAGGATTTCTGCCATATTGTTGTGGGTGACCTCTGTTACTACTGTTAAATCGTCAGCAAACATTGAGTAAATAGGTAAGGCTTCCTACGGGATGCTGGCCAGACAGAATCGAGAGATTTTTCTGTTTGTTCTCAGGTTAGCCCCCAGAGCTTCTATTACGATGATGAAGAGAAAGGGGGCTATGAGATCTCCCTGACTCACTGAACGTCGTAGTCTGAAGTCTGGTGCAATCAAGCCATTCACCTGCACAAGTGTTGTCGCATTGTGGTGGAGAATCCTTATCCAGTCCCGGAATTCCGGTCCAAAGTCCATTTTCTGAAGGCATTTGTCTAGGAATCTCCAGTCCACATGGTTGTGCGCTTTCTCAAAATCAATAAACACGATTGCAACATTTTGTTTCGTTTGTCTTGATAGTTTTATTAGCTCATTGACAAGTAGCACATTATCCTGGATGCTCCTATTATGCATGAACCCGGTCTGCGTCATGTGGAGTATCTCCTCCAAGACGAGGATCATTCTATTGGTCAGTGCTTCGGCCACCAATTTGTATACCACTGTGAGGAAGGTAATTGGTCGGTTATTTTTTATGTTTGCTTTGTCACCTTTTTTGTACAGCAGGGTGAGGATTCCTTGACCCGCAAATTCCCCTATTTCTCCTCATGCCTTCACCTGCCTGTGGTATTCCATCAGGTCCTCTGACAAGGGGGGCCACATTTCCTCCCAAAATCCTTTAGGAAATCCGTCTATCCCCGGGGTTTGATCTTCTTCCATCTATAAGAGGGCGTTTCATATTTCCTCTTTCCGTAGTGTTTTTTCAAGAGCCTCTCGTTGTTCGTGTGTTATCCTTTTTGTAAGGGGATCTAAAAACTCCTCAATCTCACGATCCTTCGCTGGTCCTGGTTCCTTCGTCAGGTTGGAGGTAAAAAGGTCTTTATAAAAGTCCCTGGCCACTTTTAAACTGTGGGCTGATGAGTATGAGACAACCTCCCGTGTTTTTACGGGGTCGTATAGACCCTCTATGGCTGATCTTCTGGCCCTTGTCTGGGTCAGTGCGAAAAATCTTGCATCCATTTGTCGTTCTACAGAGTGCTTCAACAAATTTCCTCTGATGATAAATCCTTGCCACCTTTCTTGTGCAAATTCCAGTAGTTGTTCTTTAAGTTTTTGAATTGTTGTGGGCACCGGTTGAGAGTTTGGATATTGTAATTGTTCCAGTTCATAGTTCTATATTTTCTGTCGTATATCAATTCTTTAGCCCGTGATTTCAAAAATTTGTTGCATTTTCTGGTTAACAAGGCCAGCCCATTGTTGAACCATGCAATTTGTGAGCCGTGTTGGTCTCTTGTAGTATGCCAGTACTCCCATACGTCCCTGAGGAACCTTTGAAGCTGTCTCATTTTAAGCAGAGATGTATTGAGCTTGTAAAAACCCTTGCCTTGGTCCGTTTTTTTGCGGCACCTGAGCAGCATTGCGCACATCTTGTGGTCCGCCCCAGGCCATGGACTTTGTGGGAAGATGGCCGCAGCTTGCAACGCTCTGTCCGGATCCTCCGGTATAAGGATGAGGTCGATTCTTGATCTGGATTGGTGCGGAGTTCCGCTGTTGCATATACAAGAGAAGATTCTTTTCTGCGGGTACATGTGCCGAAAGGAGTCGTGTAGATGCTCCGCCTCGCAGAGTCTGCTAATTATCGCTTCGTCCTCTTCTATATAGGTCGGGCAGGGGGTGGGGATTCTCCACCTGTTCAAACTGCGGTCGGGTGCTGCGTTGAAGCCCCCAACGATTATCGTGGGAATTCCGTGTGGCAGTTGGGCCTGAATGTGTTCAAAGAAGTTTTTTCGGTGCTCTATCTCATTGGGACCATACACACAAATTACGCAAACCTCCTCTGTTTCCAGCCTGAGGAGGACTGCAGCCCATCTCCCCTCCCTTGTGTCCACCGCTGAGTGGATAACGTCCACCCGGGAGTCGAGGGGGGACCCAAATTGCCACTCCTTGTGGATTATCACAGCTGGTTGGCACTAAATACGCCGCAGGCGGTTATGGGGCGCGAACCAACAACCTCCTGGATGCCACTTACGTGCCTCGCCGACTGAGCTAGGCTTAGGGCTGCTTAAAACACCTTTTTGGTTTCTTTTCTCATCCCTGCGCAGGGACCATCTAACGGTTGTGCTCCACCAGCTTACTTCGAGAAGTTTCCTTGAAGAGTAGGGGGCCCCACTGCCGAATTTGAGAAAATCCCCTTTCGGGGGGATTTCACCTGTCTTCACTGGGAATCAATTCTCCTCGCTTGCCCCCGTTCCGCTGCAGATTCAGAGGTCCTCAAGCTGGGAATGCTGCCGCAGCAGGGTCTTGTTTTCCAAGAGCTCGTTTGCAGGTCTGTTCAAGCTGCGACTGATCTGAGGCCATCTGATCCGGTACTGCCGCTCAGATGACGGCGTTGGGGCTGGAAAAGTTCCCAAAGAGCAATGGAATCCGTGGGCAGTGGAGGCTCACGGATTATTACGAATTCAGCGCCGTACTTAATTTAAAAAGGGAAAACTCTCCAAAGACCGCCAGCAGAACACAGCTCTAATACTCTCTGTATCGTTCCAGTTTTAACGGATGTCCCAAAGGAGGCTTTGAGGAACAGGACAACCTAGGGGCCAAGTCCCATTAGCAGGGGGTTAGTTTAGAATCGATGTACAGTGTGACATGAGTGACATACTATTGCCATTGGATCTACCAGATCTGACGCCCAGACATGGGGGTTTCAAAGAATTTAAGAAAACGTTAAAAAAAATTTATAAAAAATAACAAAAAGAAAAGTATAGTCTCAGTACACGGCCCCAGCCTTGCAAGAAGTCGTGCGTTGCCCTCCAAAGTTTTTGGGGCTCAGGGCTACCAGACCAAAGTGCCTGGTGGTGGCAGCCAAAAAAGAAAGGGGCAACTTTTGTCCAGTTACAAACAGTTTGAAAATGCATTTCAGGCATCCCTCGAACATAATACAACCCCACCAGACGCTAAAGCTGGCTTGTATACATTCAACGTTTTCAGCGTTTTGCCTAGACTGTATTTTGAAGTTCAAACCGTGACTGTGCCCTAGTTTTCCCAAAAGAAGAGGCAACTTTTGCGCAGTCATAAAAAGAAGTCCTGTGTGTGTGTGTGTGTGTGTGTGTGTGTGTGTGTGTGTGTGTGTGTGTGTGTGTGTGTGTGTGTG